AGGAGAGGATCCATTTACTGACCCCACCGCTCCTCAACACATCGAGAAAATTAACCCTTGTTTCACCTGCTCCAATAAAGCCGATTTTAGCTGAAATTTTCCACGTGCTCATATGACACTTTTACAAAATCCGATGCTAGAGAAGTTGCATCCTCTCTCTTCATTCTGTTGGTTTTAAAAATACACTAGGCCTACAAAACAAACAAACAACAATGCTCCAAAAGAGAGAGGACAAATAGCAAACCCCCCCGCAAGTCTTCTAAAAATAAACGCAAACAAAAATTAAACAGAAATGGAAAGCTGCAAAACTCAAATTTAATGTCATAAAACTCAACAAACAGAATGCAGAACTTCAATTGAGAAGATACATTTGGCTTTAAAAAAAGTAACAAAAAACAATGGATTTCAGAAAACATGTTCACATTTCATGCAAACAACTAAAAAAATAACAGTAAATAAATAATTCCTGTAGTGCATAATCGTCGTATCTTTTGACATTGTGTTTTTGGTTTGGGGTTTTGTCTTTTGATGTGTATTGACCTCATAGAAATCATCCTGGATATTATATGATTGTTGCATAAATGTCCACTGGCTTTAGTTTGGGTAGAGAAAAAGTATTTTAAGACTTGACTTTAGAGAACTGTAATCTATTCACATTATTATATATTGAAGAAACAATCATGATAAAAAAAAAAGACATATGCAATAGACGACTTTGGATTTGTGCTGTTGTACCCAACAACTTCCTTTGATGCCGTGGATCACAAACTCCTTATCTCTGAACTGGAGTAATTGCTAGTTTCAGTCCCACACTGTAAATCTTTTGTGTCAGCATCAGTGTGTTTTCTATCAGCCTCTACTTACGTTCCACGAGGAATACATCAAGGCTTCAGTCTTGGTCCTCATCTTTTTTGTTCTATTTGTTTTGTTGTTAGCAAAAAGCCAAACATTTTCTTTAGTTTTCATGAAGATGACTGCCAATTTATTTTTTGCAGAAGAACATTGATAACCGCTCCGAGTTGACTCTCCTTCTCTACCATTTTGTCATCTCGTGATATATAAAGCTGAAATTTGTGAATGGACATGAGAGCAACACTGAAGCCCCCGCAGGATATCTTGTGTTGACCTTTGCTCTTAAATCCTCGTAGGAGAGAAGCAATATCATAAATTTGCATGTTAAAATTGACCTTTCATTTCAGAAACAAAAAACACAGTTGGCTAAATCAGTTTGGTTTTGTTTCAGTTCATGTCACAAGACATTAAGTTGTTATTACATTTCCTTCATGTGTTTTCTTCCTCAAATTCGAATTTTTTTCACTACTTAAATTTGTTGACATCTCCCATTTTTCTGTTCAGCTGTGCTCCACATTTGCTGCAAACAATTCCTTCCTGCTGCCACGCTATTGACAATTAATCACCAATTTATATCTCTTAACAGATGAGAATCTGTCCTCTTCCACATAGTGTGACTTTCAAATAACATTGTCTCATGTAACTTGAGCCACAGAGGCAACAGTGGGAAGTCATCCTGCAATCCAGAAGTTGTGGCTTCCTGCTGCTAGATCTCGATGTGGCCCTCGGTGAGGCACTTAACCACGAGTTGCTTACGGGTCTTTGTATGGGTGTATGATGGTGCCCTGCATAAGTGAGTGTGATTTGCTGAATATGGCTCCAGCATAAAGCGCTTTGAGTGGTCGGCATTAGAAAAGTGCAACATAAATTAAGTCCATTTACAACACCTTCACCTTGAAAGCATGCATACATTTGATTCTGCATTTTAAACATGAGACCTGCCAGCTGGAACTGTTCTGATTCAATCTCAAGGATTTAGCAAGTTTCTATAAATAAATAACTTTTTTAAATGCTTGTGCAAATTTTTACAACTAAGCCCTGGACACATTTCTTCTTCACCTTCTGTTTTCGGTTAATTTGAGCTTGTCTTTTTGTTCAGAACATTCTGACACAAATGCATTTTTAAAATCAACTTGGGAATCTTGTGTCTTTTAGCAGCTTGTATTTTTTTAACCTTCTGTAATTTTTCAGTTGTTTGTTCAGCCTTGTTTTTAAAAAGATTTAGAAGCAAAGTAGTACGATATGTCGTGGTTGAGTGTTTTTGGATTGACGCCCCTATAACAATCATATTTAAGAGTTACCATAGTTTACTGTAACAGACTTTAGGAAGAGTTTTGCTCCCAAGACAGCACCGCAAGTCTAACCAGAGACTGTTTTCCTGCTGTCTATCACTCCTGACAATGCAGCTTGTTTCAGTTTTGGGGTTCTCAGTCGCTGCAGAAATTTGTCGGTGGAAACAACTGGAGTGCACAGTACACCACCATCACACCTCCATGTGAACAAGAGAGCTTCAGCGCTACTATATTTCTCCTTCTATCATGTAACTACATGTAAGCCCGCTGCTCTATCATGTAACTACATGTAAGCCCGCTGCTTCAGCACAGAGAAGCAATGTCAGGAGCAGAAAGATGACAGAGAGAAATGAGGATCATTTAGTATTTAAACAAAGTTAGAGTACGAGTCTGGCCTGATTGTCATTAGTGGGTTGAAGACTAAGTTGTTTTCATGTGGTAATTTGACCTGCTAAAACACACTATGTATTAACCTTGTCAAAGTTTATTTCTTCTAGTTTACATTGATACACTTGCTTAATGTTTCAAATGCAGCAGACGTGAAATTCTACACAATTCAGCCCGAACCCATATGTATTAAAATCCATCCATCTTCTTGGCAGCCGTTTGACTAAATTATTTGGAGAGGATGAAGTGGGTGTCATGCAATGGCAACAAAAAGCTCGGCAACAAGACATTTTTTTCTGAACTGCAGGATGACCTGACCATCTGCAGGCCCTTAACACCCATAGCATGCCCTATTGCCTTTAGTTAGTATTAAACAAAAACTTGATGGATGAACCAGAACATGGGGTAGTATTATCAGACTGATAATAGAGAACTAAACCGTTAAAAATACCAAATTATTCAATAGTAATCACATATTGTGAGTTGCAAAAACCATCACAAAAATGGGTGCTCTTGGTTTTACCCAAATTTTCTCAAGAAGTTTTTCAAGATACTGTTACAATCTTCCTTCATCTCTTTATAATGACCATAGCGCCGTGGCTCCTCTGCAGAAGGAGCGGCTTGGAAAGAGCAAAGAGTGAGGACACATTGGCATAAGTCATCTTCAGAGGCCATTTAATGGTAGAAAAAAAAAAAAAAAACATGAGCTCCCAGATACAGCAAGTGACATTGACTGCTAACCTCATTTCCATTGTAGAAATATTCTTCCCTGACATAAAAATGAGAAACTGCCCAAGCAGCTGATGTCACTGGTTGCATTTGTCCCCATCAGTGATCATGGCTGCTTTGACCAGAGGGCTGAGGTGTCCTTGAGACACATTGATACAGACCCCCTCCCACCACACACACCAAACCCACATGGCCACCCAGCCGCCTCCCTCCTCTCACTGCTGATAGCTTGCTCAGGCTGTACACTGCATCAGTGTCAGGAACCCTGCAGGCAGGAAGCTAAAAGGATGGCAGACACTTCCTTCCCTTCAAAGAAAGGTGCCCGAGCCAAGAGCTACAAACAGGAATCTGACCCTTGGACTTGTGACACAGTGTGAAATGAAATCGTAAACCGAGCACAGCAATTGTCATCACTTTTGTTGGTGATTTTCTATCCAAAAAGTTCCAGCCAAAAGGAAGTATGGTTCCCGTCCGGTGCACACTGCACGTGCAAGACAAGTTTTCCCGTTCGTTCGTTTGTTTTTCTCCCTTCTTTTTACGGTTTATGTGGCATCCGTTACCTATGAGTCCATTGATCCGTTCACTCCCACCCCAACACGCACGCACACTACAGAAATCCCGCGTGTGCGCGCTTGCACGAGGAGTGAATGATTCTATCTGATGCGCTGCGATCGGAGCGGAGTGGCCCTCCCTCTGGGGCAGTTCAGCCTCGCCTGACTGGGAACACAGGGGAAGTAAAGAGATTGCGTGCAGACGTGCGTGCCCGTGTGTGCGAGGGTGCGTGCGCGTCGGGAGGAGAGACATTGTTCCTTGACGTCAGCGCTCAGCCCAGCCTGCCGCTGCTCTCAAACACGTCTTTGTTATTCCGAGGCTTCCACGGGAGGACGGCCGCCAGCAAAACACGGAAACCGGCGTGCGGAGCTGCTGGAGCGGGGCCCAGTGTGCAAAGACATACTATACACGCCAAAATAACTTCAGACGCGCGTCCACATTTCTTGTGGGCGTATTCGTAATCATTTATGTACTGCTGTTTCTTGACACGCTATCTCACGCTCAGCAAAGATTTTGTTTTAACAGCACAGAGTGCACAAAGGCCACCAGCATCAGCTATGAACTAATATATGTTTCAAATATAACGTAATACCAAATGTAGCTGAAAAAGGACACAAAAAACCAACGAAAGAAAAATAAAAGCAATTAAACGCAACACTCAACAGACTGCTGAAATCTGTTGTGAATTCCCACTGCTCATTTTTTGCATTCATTTTTGTATTCATGTCCAAAATAGAAAAAAAAGTAGTTAGCTTTTATTTAATCAGATGTAAATAAACACGGCTTTTTAAAATGACTAAATAAACAGCTACAAGTAAAGAATATTCAGGCAAAAAGCAAGATATGACGATATAAAGAAATAAATATATTATAAATAAATATCACTAACAAATGTTATGCCTATAATAATAATAATATAATAATAATAATAATAATAATAATAATAATAATAATAATAATAATAATAATAATAATAATAATAATAATAATAATAATAATAATAATAACAAGTGCATGAAGAAACAGGCCACAGAAGTTAATTACTGCATGTTTCCAGCAGAGGTATTGTTATAATGTTACTATGTTACACCACTGATGTCCTTCCGCATGGGAATCTAGGCCGCCTTTTTCCTTCCACCACCGCGCACGGCTTTCTCTGGTAACTGAATAGCCAGTGAAATCTGACACTTCAACTTGCCGTGCTCTACGGTAGTTGATTCAGTCAGTCAGTCAGTCAGTCACACCGTCTTCGGGGCTCTCTCACGTCGTCTTTGTGAAGTGAAGAGAGCGAAGGAGCGGAGCGCCGTAAACACGCGGCGTGGAGGAACAATACGCGGCTTTGCCACTTGAGCTTCGAGCAGAAAGTAAGTTTCGCGCCCGGTTATTTTCTCCGGAATTGCTGTTGCAGAGCGAGGTTTGAGTGCTGATTTGCGGGGCTTCTGCCTCCCGCCGGACAGCCACTACCTGCTAACAATAGGCTGACCTCTGGGAAACCTTTTAACAGCCGCTGGTGAACTGGTGTCAAGGGGGCAAATCCTGGTTTGCGTGAGCCGCGACGGAGCGCTTTAATAGCCAGACCGCTTTGCTCCATTGTATGTAAACACCGAGCGAGCGAGCGACTTGCGCCGAAGCGGCAACGTTTATTGGGATTGTTTTAAGAAAAGGAGGCGACTGCATTCGGACAGCGCTGTGGAAATAAACCCGGCTGCGGGTTTATTCTGCGTGCGTGTGGGTTAATGTTGTCTTCTCGGTCGATCAGCTGATGGCTCGCTTGAATGTATGTCACTTAGCTAACAGACAGCCGTGTGTCTGGGCTTGTTGACTCCCATCGAGGCTATTATCGGCTACCTGTTGTAATGCAATTAGCTGGCATGTCCAAGTGTTACTCCTTCTCTGCTGTGTTATACAACACCTGTCATGCAGCTTCTGTGATGTTTGGCACTTCGGTTTGAATGCATGACACTATTTACTGAATGAATTTCAGAATCTCACTGGCTCCCAGCAGGAGGTCAATTAGGACATTTGGCATCAAAGTCCTTCTTGCAACATTTTTCAAATCATTTTTTTAAAATTATTTATTCAAGTTGATAAATAATAAAGAGTATTAACTGTACCCTTAATATTACAGTTAGACAGTGTCCAGATGGCCATAAAGCTGGTGCCCACTCTGAAATCTTGCAGCGCACACCCACCCTTGATCCTTCTCCACAGACTGGTCTGCACATCCTGTTTGCTCTGCACAAAACCCAAAATCAGTATCTGTGTTGGTAACCAGCAGTGCCTCATTTGGTCTCAGCCTGCAGCCCTGTGTCTTAAGTCTGGCAGACCCTCCCCGTTAAATTCCTGCCGTCTGGATGTGAGGCCAGCCAGGGCACAGCGCAACACACACACACACACACACACACACACACACACACACACACACACACACACACACACACACACACACACACACACACACACACACACAGAGAGAGAGAGAGAGGAGCTCAGGATGGGAGGAGGGATAGTGAGAGGGAGGAGGTGGAGACTGCTGCTCTTTCATTACCCTGCAGCCTGCTACAGGACAGCTGAAGTTTAGGACAGGGTGATGTAGAGCTTGTATTCTTAGCCTGAATCCTGTTTCCTACTGTTAGCCCCTACCCCTTTACACTTGATAAGTCCTGTAAAAAACAAAACAAAAACCCCCAAAACAAGAGGAAAAGAGAACAGCATCCTGCAGCAGACATCAACATGCATCCATTATAATTCTTATCTGAATTACAAAATATGTTTCCAAATCCTTCTTATTGATAAAGATATTACAGATATTTAAAATACACTTTTTTCAGTTAACCAGTATACTCACAACAAATATACAAGTATGTACATATTAATTTTAATTTATTATATAGCTGGTTTAATTAATTATATCCTTATAATCTTTTGCCCACCCATTTTTGTTGTTGTGCTTATAAGAATTTCCTGGATGATTTATTGGAAATTACTCACATTATGTATGCAGATGATCCTGTGGGTTTTAGTTCTTCAAGTGCAGGTTTTCAGCAGCTGCTATACTCTGTAAAATGTAGGACATCATTTTGAGTACAATGCTTGTAACAGTGCTGTTACCATCTGTTGAACAAAAGAAGGCAAATATTCTTCTTTCAAACTGTCAGATGATATGAAAAGTGTCAGTGAGACAAATGAAATAGTCTTGAAAAGACCAAGTTGGGGCAGCGAACTGTTTGTGACAGCCGGAGTCAGCACTCTGCAGGCTCTGCTCGGAAACGTGATGGATAAGTTTATATGCCGGCTTAGCTGAATCTGAAAGTAAAGCTATCATGGCTGTAGTTAACCTCATTGTTGTGCTCCATTCAATGCCATTCACAGCTGTAGAGAAACATTTCACGTTTTATATAATTGTTTTTAGTGAGTTTCGATATGTATTTTTGCTGTTTGGTTGTTTGTCGTCCTGTTTTTTCTATCTACTTTAGATTTCATCATGAAGTCTAAAAACTAGATGGCAGTTTAATGTCTTAAAGTATTTCACAAATGAACACTTTCATTACATTTAAATGTTTTTTTGTAACATATATTGCTACTGTTTCCTCTCAAGATGGTGTTTAATCTGTTTTGTAGTTTACATGGCACTTATTATAGTTGTCTTTTAATCATTAGTTTAATTGTGTCAACAGTTTTGGTATGATTGTTGTTTTGCGTTCTCGTTTCTTTGTTCGAACAATTGCAAGGCGCTTTGTGATTAGTGATCTATGAAGAAAATCACATTGATTACATTGATCACTTCTTGATTAATTCAAATTTTTGTGTTTTGTTGTGACAATTTCTTTTTTTTTTTAAAGAACACATTCCTTTCTGTTTCCTGTTTTTGTTAAGAAAAATAACACATTTTAAAAGTCATTCTGATGGTTAAATGTTGCAAAGTGAAACATTTTATCTGCTATTTTTATGGTAAATAATAACTAACTGTGAAACCATGTGTACTATATTGGAACACTAGCTAAACATTACAGTGGTTTGTCGTGCCTTCAGATTGAAAACTATTTACATTTGTGAGTGGATCTGTCTTTTTTGTTTTCCATTACAAACTGTAGGAGTGCTACAGTGCTCTGATATACAAAAATGAATAAATAAATTGATATACCCCACCCTTTAGCAATGCTAATGAGGGGCAAAGAGTAAAACAAGTCAGCCTATATTACAGTGAGAGGTCTAAAAGTGTTTTCAAATTCATGAAACGTGATGAAGACGTTTTTATCTGCATTTTAAAATACAAGTTCTAAAGCTCTGAACATTTCACCAACAAGCCTCTAATTCTGATCACAGAGTTGAATTTGGCGTTGTATTCATTGCAAAAGTGTTGCATTGGATTGCAGGTGTTCATGTCATTACGTCCACTCCCTCTTTGTGTCTGTCTAAGAAAGTGTGTAAACACAAGAAGAACGAGCGCACCCTCCAGTGTCTCCTTCCTCTGTAATTTAAATTGGTGATGTAATGAAATTGTTTTAGCAGCAACACTTGTCAGACGCACCACATTAATTAGTGCTGCTGTTCAGATATTTTTTTTTCTTTCTCTTTTAAAACCCTCCTTCTGACAAACCAAAAGGAGTTGTAACTCATTCCAAAAAAACTTAAAAACTGAAAATGCATCCATTCAAAGTGGGTTACCAAATGAATTGGCAACAAAGGAGAAGGAGGAATTAAAGTCATCTGCAAGTGTTTGAAATGTGTGTGTGTGTTGGTGTGCATGTGTAACTTTTCTTTCCGTCTGTTGTCCCTCTGGGGGCCTCTCTGCAACCAGCCAGCCAGGCAGGCAGGCAGGCAGGCAGGCAGGCTGTGAGACAAGACAGAGAAGCGTCTGATTCAGTAAACAGGCTAAAGGCTCCTGTAGGCTCACTCTGAAATCAAATTTGGATATTTTCAAAAGCTCAGAGGATGGGAGCAAATACAAGTAGACTTTGTGAGGCTGGATTCTCCGGCTCTCCAGAGTGCCAGACTGTGAAGAGGTCACACTGGAAATACGGCGGGAAAAAGCTTGCGTCTTCAACTCGCAGGGTTTGGAAAGTCTAGGAAAGTCTGGGATACAATTTGATCTTTTTCCAAGTCTGGATAAGTATGGAAAAATGTAATTATGTGTGGAAAGAAAAACTTATCAGCCTCCAATCTTTTTTCCCCTATTAAATTAACAAAAATATGGTATTCAGAAATTTTTTTCTTAAAAAAAAACCCTCTGTTTTTTCTGAAAAATTAAAAACAGGAAGCCATTCTTTGACTGATCATTAATTATTTATATTACTGTCACCATCACATCATTTCAGAGAGCAGTGTGTGTTACACACCTCAGTAGTAAAACATGATTCCAGTAAAACAAACGATTAGAGTTGCCATTTTGAGCTGTCTTTAGCATTTAGCATAATTAGCATTACAAACAGCAGTCCCTGTTTGTTTTTCCTGCAGTGTTTATTCAAAACACTCCCAATATTTACTAATCCAATATTTTCTATGCCTACTTTCAGAAAATAGACATGCTAAGTTGCTCTAATCCAGAGCAACTTCGGTGTCTGCTGAATTGTAATTCCCTGACTTAAAATACAGTTTTCTTTCCCGAAGATTTGTACATCTTTTGTGATTCATAAATAATTCATTTTTAACATCATTCTGACACTGAAAGGAGCTGAGGTTCAGTGTTCCTGCAGTAACAACTTCCACACTGAAGTCTGTTGAGCTCAGAATAATCTGAAAGTGTCTAGTGGTGCATTCAATTATAGAAAAAAAAAAGATTTTCTATCTCCGTCCAGGTGATGTTTAAGATAGTGTTCTATCACACACTGATCAACTGGAAGCCAAAAAGATTTGTGTTATTTTGTAGTCTGCAAAAAGTACAAATTGTTAAACCAAACAAGGTAATGTGAGGTTTACATAAAAGTCTAGAGTGTTATTAAATTACTAAAACCCCTGAAATTTAAGTCTGGAAAACTAAAAGACACCTGAGATAAAAACACAACAGAATTACAAGTTGTAGCTAAGTATGAGGAAGATAAGAGTTTGCTTGCAATCATACTTGTTTCCTCACCAAACAAGCAGACAAATAGAAAATATTTCCTACTAAGCACTAAATTGGTGAACATCAAAGGTAAGAAATATTAGATGTTTGTGTCAAGAAATATGTCAAGTTTCTACAAGTTGCAGCACATAAATCGCCTGCACAATTCATCAGACACGTCTGCTCCCTGTGCACAGAGGCACTACGGCAGTGAGCGCATCCTGAACACCGGCTTTTGAGCCCTCTGTGAAGCAGTGAGGTGGTAATTTGGATTCAAGGAAAACAACTAATTGCACATGTTGCAGTAATTAGCTTTTTGTT